GAACGATATATTTTGAAGAAAGCCAGAGTTCCATTTAACACACTCAAGTTTTTTCTCCCTGGCAAGCTTGCAAGTACTGTGCATAATCATTCTGAGTAGTGATTACCCCATTCGACTCGCGTTATCTCCCAACATTCGCTGCTGTCCGTGTGTGCTTGGCTGGGTCCCCCGATGACTCTCGCAGACTCACAGCAAGCTCTTGAACGCAGTCCTGAGAAGGTGTTTTTTAACCCTAGTATCTCAGAGGGCTTTGGAAAGATTTGTGAACCTTATCACTGCCATCTCACAGATAGGAAAATCAAGTTGATTAATGGCTCACAGCCCAGTATGTGCTCAAATGTGGCCTCCATTTGGGTTCCTGCAAATTCACCTCTGCCAGTTCAAGGCCTTGAAGACTTAAATAGGGAACAAACCTACATGTTTTGATAGATCAGGGTGTGATCCCACGCGTTAGATGAATTTAACTCAGCCTCCAGGGAGTTTAATGCAGATCATTACCCCATACTGAGCGAGAACAGCTCCACCTGGCAAAAATGGGAGCTCAACTGTAGTCTTGCATAGACTAAAAACCTCAGTAAAGTTGAGAGACCCTTTTGTAAATATCATCAAACACTTAGACCTGGGTAAGAAACATTAATTTAATTGTAGAAGAGGATGGAAGCCTTATTCCACGTAACTCTAGATTTCTAGAGATGGGTAAATACTATGAAAATTACAAATATTTGTATATAAAAAGAAAAGGTGCAGTAGTTATTCAGCCCCTGTGCACTTGGATTCTGAAAATCCTTTGGCTTATGAGATCATCAGCAAGACTGGTCACAGAACAGCATCTCAGACAATATCATGTCTTGCCGAACACAAACAAAATGTGAATGTGAGGTTTGTGAGGAGAAGTCAAATCCCATCTCTGGGTTAGAGAGAAAGCATGGCAGGCTGGGAAGGAGGCTTCGTCCAAAACATCAGCCACAGCCACAGCCTGGTGCATCAACACAAGCCTTCATCATGCAGTTAAGTGACGTGGCTGGGATCAGACACTCATGCCCCTCCATTGCCCCAGCCACGTGGACAGAGACTTGACGCACTTGTACAGGAGGCCAGCTGGGATGGGCGGTCTCTTGGGATGTCGCCGCTGTCACAAATACAACTCACCTGCCACACTTCTTACTTGGTCAGGACAAAGGGACCATCCAGCAGGACTCTAATGTCCAACTGAGACAACTGCACTTGCAAATAAAGAATTAAACACTCCCAAGTGGAATATTGGCCACTGGGAAGGGCAGGGCACTAGAGCAGCCTCAGGTAGCAAAAATTTTTATTATATTCTCACACTTCTCTTAGTCCCTAGTGAGTCAGGCAGTAGGAATTGACTGATATATGCATATATTGCACAGTAACCAAAGGTATTCCCTTGGGTTTGAGTCAAAATTATCTTTCCTATATAAAACCCCTCTTTGACTGAGTTGTGGAGGTGCTGCAAGGTTTGTTTATCTAGCTGGTGTTGCTGGTGAGAATCCAGGTAGGTTAGAGCTTTCTTGCTCTACGATGAAGGTAAAGAGGAAATCAGAACTGCCTGATCTCCAATGTCTTCCCACAACAGCTGCCAAGGAGAAAACAGGCCCTCATGCAAGGGGCACAACTGGCTGAGAAAGAATCGCAAAATATCTCAGCCCAGGGGGTTGCACCCACTGCCCTTGGGCACAAGAAGGGTACTAGGAAGGACACAGTCCCCATGGCAGAGTTTTGCAAAAGGCACAGCTCATACATCGTCCAGACCGCAGCTGGTGTCAGCTACCTGGGGAAACTGCAGCGTAACAATGCTATGAGACCTCAGGAAAACGAAATCAGCCTAACCAGGTTCAGAGCTGCTTCAGAGACATGTGAGAAATGTGGTTTTCTGGTAAGAAGCTGGATGAGTACTATGAAACATTTTCCATGAGTGTCGTCTCAAATTTTCAAATGAGTTCATTCTGGCCATGCTTATGCCTTTCTTGTGTTCACTTTCCATGAACGTTTGAGCAGTGGAGATTTACACACACGAACGCTTGCAGAAAGTGAATTTAAAGCTTGCATGCTTGAGTACTCACAGACAATTAAAGAACCAGACAATGATCTAACTGCACTACTTGTAACACAGACCAAGTGCAAATACGCAGAGATCCTGAACGTCAGGGAGCGTGGCAGTGATGACGGAAAATTACAGAGCAACAAATACCATACACTTAGTATATTTTCTACCCTAAAGTGGAGACAACTTATTCATGTAGGAAGAGGATAGGATTCCCAAATTTTCTTTCCAGAGCAATGGCACAACAGCAATTGAATGAGACAGATAAGGATCAGACTGCACCCTTCATAGTTAAGAACATGCAGGCACACACGGTAAGAAGAGGAAATTAAATGCAAAATGCAGCTGAGTAATAAATCTTAGAGTAGCTTAGTTTCTCTAGGAATGATGCCGCTGGCAAGACGTGTGAGATCTAGAAGTTTTCAAATCAGAGCTCGTTGGAGAAATTTTGATGGATCTGCGTATCTCAATGGAATACGCAGTTCTTTCAAAATCAAAACACTTTGCAAAATTGGGTTTATATGGCCAAAATTTTATTCTGGAAGATAAAATGGGAAGAAAGTTCTAAAAATATTGGAACATTGTGTTTTGACATTTTTGGAAGAAATCATTTCACTTTTGCACTTTGAAACACTTTTTATTTTTATTCTAAAAGTTGCTTTTGCCCTAGATTATATACTAAAATGGGATATTTTCAAATGTCATAATTTAACTGAAGTTCATGAAAGAGGAATTATATGAGCTAAACAAAACATTTTGGCCAGCCTCAAACACTTTTTGTTTTTAATTTTCCTTCATGGAGAATTTCAAAAGTTTCAGGTTTTGTTCCAAATGAAACCAAGTTTCAAAGTCTTGTAATCCTTGGCTAAGTGGAAATTCCACCTTCCACCCTGCACTACTACTGCAGAGCAATCCAGACTTCCCTAATCCTGTTTACTTGATAATCCCGTCGCACTCATAGCCGGAGTGCTGCTTCCCAGGTCGAAGCTCTTGAACAACACCCACCCAAGGGGCAGGTGGGCTCTGCACTGTGTCTCGCAGCCTCGACCCTTGGATGTCCAAAGCAGGGGGGTGAGTTGGAGTGAATCCCAACCTCTGTTGGGCCCTCACCCTGGGAGACAGATACGTGAGGCAGAGGACCGTTGCCCACACATCTTGTCCCATCACACAGTGGTGATGCAGTGAGCTGCACAAGCTGACTTTAGGACTAGGGAGGGCTCCTTGGGGCCAGCGCTCCATATGTCACCATATTAGCTTACAAATATTCTTTTTTGTAGAATAACTCCCACGTGCTCTAGCTGCGGGACAGAGAAGTCCTTAGCATAAGGAGGTATTTGTATAATGAGTTTGCAAAATCCAGGGATTGGCCCTGGAGTTCAGTGAGCCCACCTGTGCGTTTTCAGTGTAGTCTGGGCCCAGAGCATGCTGCTCCTGAAGAAATAGCTTGTAGTGGACAGATCAAAATGATATTCTGTTTTTCCAAACCATAACTTCTGATTACTGGCCTCTGCCTGGCATAATCTTAAATATGCTTTGCCACGTCAACCTACTTATGTAATGGAAAGCACATATGGAAGAGAGTTAATGATGGAGATCTAACAGCATTGTACAACCAGCCCTGCAGACCATTCTCCGTTCAACAGGCTCTAAAAGAAGCAGTAAGAATGACTTGCAAAACACCCTGAACTAGACTGGGCTTGACGTAGTCACCTGCCTTCATGCTGCAGGGTACTTGCCCAAAGGGCAACCTCCACTCCTTTCTGCCTGTCTGCTGGTGCAGCCCACTACTGTTCAGTGCAAGGGCAGGAGAAATCAGACCAAATAACTAATACGCAATTCTTCACTTTTGGAGTTGGAGTAGAAGGAGTAAACAGCTCCCCTGAGGCATTCATCTGGCAGATGTGAAGGGTCAGCATTTCTTGGCACTCCGCTGCTTTCTGAAATTCAGGTTCAGCTCCTGAAATTCATTTAATTCATGGACAGCGTCAGGACCCGGGGGCCAAAACACAGGTATTTCAGCCAGTGGCATTACTTGGGGCACAGTGTATTCATCTGTCCTCTGGTTTTGTTCATGTTACACGCAGGCAGTGGAGGGTGTCCCTGCGCATGGCAGGGGGGTTGGAACTAGGTGATCTTTGAGGTCCCTTCCAACCCAAACTGTTCTATGATTGATCCTATAGGTGTAATCAGTCGGCCTCTCCCAGATTTTCCCACTTTCTTTGGGGCTCTCCTTTTACTCTGGCCCAACTTCTCCCCCATGACATCTTTGTCCCCAAACCTGTGACTCACCTTCTGCTTCCCGTGGGCTCCAGTGCCCCGAGGGATCGCAGGGCATCGGGGAAGAAGCGCTGAAGGCGTATTGCACCAGGACTCTTCCTTCTGCACACAGATCACATGCTGATCCCACTTCTCTAGGAGGCCAGGAAAACAGGAAAACACACCAACTTAGTAACAGCTGAATGAGCTGCTTATTCAACTATATTAAAAGCAATAAGACTTAGAATTCAATTCCACTGAACCCTCTTTTTTCACGGTGCTGACAAGAGCGTTTTCTGACGCTGACCTTCTGTAGGTTTGGGCTAACGGCCTGCGTGGATGGCATCTGTGAGTCTGCTGTCCAACACAGAACAACAGCAACCTGTGAAGTCACACTCAGCTATATCTTTCCTCCTTGCCCCGCACTACAACTGGATCAAACCCTGACAAAAGAAAATACTCTTTGCTTAGTGGTTAGAGCAGAGAAACCAACCAGCCTCGGGAGATTTCAGATCTATTTCTGCTCCCACCATGGATTTATTGCTCGAACTTGTAGTATCTTCAAGATTGTGAGGGCCTTGGGCTTACTAGTGATTAGTGGAAAGGGTAAAGTCCCAGCCTCTGAGAACATCAGACAGAGCTGCTCTGTGAAGCACGGCTTTGCTAAGTATGCAAGGACCTGCTTTTGGAGGTGTATCACAGCCCAGATCATTACAAGTCTGGAAAAGGAGTGGGTTATAAACATAAAGAAAAGAACATGACCTGAATTGTTTTCCCAGGGGAAACTGGATTCAATACCTGGCAGCTTTGGCCCAAGCGGACGGCTCTTTCTGAACTGGAACATCTTACGGCTCTACGCCATCCGATGGCACGACATGGCACTAAGAAAGGCACTTCACTGCCCAATGCCAACATTACTTCACCCACACAATACATCTAATACCAGCTACTGTCAATAAAATACAATCAGCCAAACCGGTTGAACAGGAAAACCCAGTTAAACAGTGATTCACAAATATTTTTGCTACATTCACAAGATCAGGGTTTAAGCTGATGTAGACTGGTGCAATAATAGTGTCTTCAATAACATCAGGCTGATGTACATCAGCTGAGGATGCAACTCATAGTTCATCCCTACATTCCTCAGGGTCACAAAATTTGGAACCATGTATGACCCAGAATATGTGATTATTCATCCGAGTAAGTTGCTTATTATTCAGAATTCATTGTTCTGCTTTAAGGAACGCTGCTGACTCAAAATGAAAGGAAAAAATTAATGATCTTAATGATTAAATGCATCTAGGAAAGGACAGACATCTTAGGCAAACAATTTCTGTGTAACACACAGTGAACTCTCTAAATTACCCAAGTATGGACTGAGTCATCAATTATTATAATCAGCCATGCAAATTTTAACCATCTCCCATAACGCTATTCCCCGTTGCGAAGGACACTGTGATCCTCAGGCAGAAGTTATTTTGGATCCTCAGCAAGGACACCAGGACTGTAAATTTACTCTCCCAGCCCTCCCAGGCTGTGCGATCTCCTTTCCCTTTGGCGTTCGGGATGACACATGCTCAGCTGCTCCACAGCTTAGCATCTCCTGTTTGTTGACAGGGATCTATTTGAAAGTCAACTTTCTGTTGGCTTCATTAGGCGGAAGCAGGGATTGTCAACAGGGGGAACTTGGAATGAAATCAGTGGTAAAACTCGCTTCCATTTGTCGTGGTCTAACCCCAGTCGGCAACTCAGCCCCACACAGCCGCTCGCTCACTCCCCCGCATTGGGATGGGGAAGAGAATCGGAAGGGTAGAAGTGAAAAAACTCGTGGGTTGAGATCAAGGCAGTTTAACAGGTAAAGCACAAGCCACACATGCAGCAAAGCAAAACTAGGAATTAAATGGCTACTTCCCATCCGTGGGCAGGTGTTCAGCCATCTCCAGGAGAGCAGGGCTCCAGCTCACGTAACAGTATCTTGGGAAGATGAACGTCATCACTCTGAATGTTCCCTCTTCCCTCCTTCTCCCTCACCTTTATATGCTAAGTATATAAAGGGTCTGGAATATCCCTTGGGTCAGTTGGGGTCAGCTGTCCCAGCTGGGTCCACTCCCAACTCCTTGTGCACCCCCAGCCTCACTGGTGGGGTGGGGTGAGGAGCAGAAAAGGTCGTGACTGTGTGTGAGCCCTGCTCAGCAATAACCAAACCATCCCTGTGTGACCAACGCTGTTTCCAGCACAAATCCAAACCACAGCCCCGTACCAGCTGCTGTGAAGGGAATTACCATTACCGCAGCCAGAACCAGCACACCACCCTCTACATGGCCCACAGCCACCGCTACACAAAGAGACGGTGAATGATTGAACTCACAGACCGTGCAGAAAGGAATGCACCTGCTGAAAACATCTGCAGGATAAAATGTGGCAATGGGGTAGAATAGAGAAGAAGGAGGCAAAGGTGCCCTCCTCTGCCTTGCACGATCCATGATGCTGGTAAATGAACAAATTTGGGCATGTTGCTAATAACTTCTTTCTCTGTCTCACTTCACCCACCTGCACTGTTGGTATGGCACTGCCTATTTCATTTCTCAGCTGTCTATTTAGCAGTGGTTTAAGCGTCTATCTCAGCTTGCCTAAATAATATATGCAAAAAAACCCCAACAATCAAGAGTGCAGAATAAAAGGTACTGAGAAATCAAAATGTAGAATTATTATTGTGCGGTTGTTTTTCAGACACATGCGCCAACAGTCAGGACAGAAGTCTCTGCAATAATAACCTTTCAGTTTCTCTACAGAGACTCCTGCATTAGCACTTGGTCCTGGATGAGGACGGGGCTTTGAAAGCCAAGTTTCCACAATTAGAACTGCTTTTTACTCAAATTAGCAGCTATACAGTTTCATCACAGGCTGCCATGGTGGAAAAAACTGTAGGCTTATGGACAAACATTTCCTTTTACCAGCAAGGACTTGGAGGTAAGAGAAATCACAAGGAGCATCATGTGGGAAAGGCTATGAGCAAACTTTCTCTTTTTACTTTTCCAATCTGGGAGCCAAACTCAACCCTGATGTAACTCCACTGGCTGAAAGGAGTTACACAGGGAATGACTCCTGGGTTAAAATTTTTGGTCTGCAGACTCCTGCACACAAATCCTACAAACAGCCATGAATGTCAAAACTAATTATGGAATTGCATTTACAGGCTTATGAAAATCTAAGCCAGATCCTTACACCTTACGCAGCCACTGACATCAAGACAAAATGAGCGTAAATTGGTTCAAAACACTATTAATTAGGAACGATAGCATATCTGACACCTTTTACACTGGTGCACATGACTCCCCAAAGTGCAGGGTAATGGAAAATCTAGACTTCTCTGTTTTCTAATAAGCCAAGTACTGGGGAAATTCCAGCTTATGAAGTTCAGAGCACAGGAGGAATTCATTCCTACAGCATGATATTTCAGAAGTGGATTCAAAATCTCAAGATTACTAGTGAAAAACAGACAATTCTCTTCAGGGCCAACACCAGTTCAGTGGGTGACTCAAAAGCAGTAAAAATCTGTCAAATCCTTTCAGTAAAGAATGCCTGTTTTCAGACTAAATTGTATCCCCTTACTCGAAATTCAGAATTGGTGCTCTCCCCTCCAAGGCACTGAAACTTTCCAGCACGGTTTAAGCGAGCGATTATCAAGCCCCGCCATCGAGATCTGGGACACCATACTGACCAAAATATTTGCTTGCTAAGAATAAGATAGCATCGTCTTCATGGAAATTAATGTAGCCACCTCAATGAAAACTTGGAAGAGCAGATGCATTCAAAGTTTTCTGTCCAAGCAGAATTTGCTGCAGAGCCCTGTTACAATAACTGTTTACGCATATCAAACTGGAGGTGCGTGAATGGATGCTTAGCGACAGCAGATGAACGCCTCTAATAGATGCAGTCAGGAAATGAACAGAGTTTTCTTCTTCTCACTTGTTTTCACTTGCTTTGTTGGCTCTATTATTATTTTATTATTACATATTATTATATGCGCATGCGACACTTTTCGTGCATTTTTTTTTTAATGGAAGGACGGAGAATGGTGAGTATTCCAATCCCGTGTGTAGTAGCTACAAGAAGAAATGCTGGTTCTTGATATATGTGATTATTAGAGATGTTTAGAAGCTCAACCAGCTGCTGGAGTTTAGGGTCAAACACACGTTGGCAAATTTACGTGCAGGTAAACGACTCTCTAGAGTAATATAGTAGACATCAATTGAACCCACTGAACGGGTAAGGAGGGTCTGCCAGGAAGAAGATTTTGCTTCTGTGCACAGCTCATGGAGCTACTCTTGTAGAAAGTGATCCTCAGGCAGAAGTAGTACACACACACACACTCTTGTAGTGTGTGAAGACACAGGATAGGCAACCCCAAATTTACAAGAACTCTGAGTTAGCACTTCTCTCAGTCGCCAAATTCACATAATTCATCACATAATTCCTAGAACTGAGGTCCTAAGAGGAAAGCACCCCATACTATGGCATCTGTGACAAAGTTGCATCTAAGCAAAGAAAAAGCACAAGGTCTTCACTTCCATGCTTCATCTCCCTTCAACCACAGACCTGTCAGGACCTCACTCACAGCTACAGCCAGCCCAGTGTTACATTTTTAAACACAAGGCGAAATTTTCCCTTCCTGATTTTCATTAAGCAGAGGTTGCTGCCTGTGCACAGCTCTAGAGAACAAAAGGAAGTTGAGTTACACTGAGTGCACCTACAGTAGCATCAGAATTTGGATAAGAAGCGAGCTTTTCAAGTGAAACTCTTCATCTTCCCCACTTAAACACTTGGAGTAGTCCTGGAGCATGGAAGCTGGACCGAGTTTTGCTTGCACCAGAGTGGAGAAGTGCTCCAGGACCACACCTGATGTGCTCCCACTGCTGATGCCACAGGGCCAGGCTAGAGCTAGGCTGAAACAAACCCCCCAAAACCCCTACGGTGTTGACTTCAGGTCTTCGTTAACAACTGTTTTGCGCTAGAGATCTACTTATATCGGACCACAATACTTGCTAGCGTAGCCACAGCCATTCATCCTTTTAACGCCCTTTTACACTGTCAAAACAGCGTGGAAGGGGCCTCTGTGCATGAGAAACCAGGCCCAAGGCACTCAGCAGTTGAGGATCAGTCTTCTGTTTTTTACATGAATAGTCTCATTGAAGTGAATGAGTTTATTCATTCAAGTGAGGCAAGAAAAATTTGGGCCATGGTGCGCACTTTGTGTAAAAATATCTGCAAAGATTTACAGTATTCCCACACACAGATAAGATTATACTTGGCCAATTTTACCTCCTACTTGTCTTGCACAGTGACCCAATTTCACAAATGGATACAGGCATGTATCTCTAACCGAGCAGCGCTGGGCACATCGGTACTGGCAGTTCAGCACGTGAGCTTTTCCAGTATTAGCCACTGTAATACTGATATAATCCTTGTTTTGGTTAATAGATCAGAAATCTGGGCATGATTTAGACAGGATCATTTATATATTTCAGTGACATTTTTAAATGGTCACAGCAACATTTCTATATCTCTTAGTGCTGGGAATCTCATTTTCACAAGGAATTGGACTCAAAGTACTTGAAGCTGTCTCTTTAAATCTCTTCAGTAATACTGAGCACACAGACTTGAAAACCCAAAGGACTTTTTTTTCCTAGAAAATCACTGTTTATTTAACATATGATAACTCTGTTATGAAATTTTAGATTTAACAGGCTATCCACTCTATGTTATTTAAGAAGCAACTAACTAGGGCTTATTAGAAACATATTGATTGAGTTATAAGAAATATGTAATAAAGACATATTTGGTTTCATAACAATTAACTCTGCATCAACGTGTTTTAAGAGGCAGATGGTATTTATTTAACACATAATAAGTATCTTCTGAAATGTAAATTAAATTGGAGAAACTTAATTTACCTGAAAATTATTATGGGCTAAAAAATTCTGAATTAATTTTCAGAACTTCACATAAGTCCTTTGCACACGTAGAGAATAAAGGGTTTCTATTGCAAAACTGCAATTAAAACACTGTTCAGAGCGCAAGACCTCTCTATCAACTCCTAATATGATTTGATTGCCTTCTCTGTATTAATCTGCAATAAAGATGGAAAATCTCATATGAGCAAAAAATAATAGCTATTATCTGCCTACTCAGGTAAAGTTCAAGCTGGCCACTGAAACGGCCATGGTGTCCTGGCAGTGCAGGAAGGAGTTTCATCCCCACTGGAGGCAGTGGCTTTCAAGGTGCTCTCACTGAACAACGCAGCAGTGCTGAGACAGCTCTTTGGGTGGTAATACGCTTGTAAATTCGGCCTCCTGTGAGACGTACTGCTACAGCCCTGAAGGACACGCGAAGTTTGTTCTCTATAAAACAACAAAGCAAAAGTGGAGAAGGAACTCAAACAGGGAAGGTGAGTTAACATTAATGCGAGAAGGTCGATCGTTTAGGAAGTTCTCTGCTAGGACTCCCATAGCTCTCACAGCTCATCCAAGCGCTGTGTAAGAGTATTTAGATGAACTGCCCAGTTGCTCAGGTCATCCTGGGGTAGAGTTGCTCCAGCTATGAAATCCAATGTGGTTCAACTCTTGTCCAGAGCCCTATATTCATTTAATTTGTCATTATTGGTGCTGCATGCTTACCAGACAGGAACACACGCACGTACTCTGACCTACATGATCTACTCAGGGTGCAGCAAGATGACACTCACACAATATTCAAGGGTTTAGGTCTTTGACTCCGCCTTGCTCAGTTCCCATCTCAGACCTCCTCGCCCTGTGAGACTCCGCTGCCCATGAGCTCCGTGTTGTCGCAGGAACAGGAACAAGATTCACTTTGCCCTTGCAAAGGAAACGTGCAAGAGGAGGAGGGGGAATGTGCAGGCAGAGCTGAAGCCCGCAGGTATTTGTGAGCAGCAATAACAGCAGGAATCACAGGGCCAGAACCGTTGATTGAAAATTCCTCCCATAACATATGGAAAAAGATTTGCCCTTTACATGGCAAATCAATGGCTCTCAACTGAGTGCTACGGGCTGAGAAAGGAAGAGCAGAAAACAGATCAATAACCTCCTCAGGATGAACCAATTTAGGAAAAAGGCTTAATCCAGACTGAGCACAGCACATGATAAAGCTGCGCTCGTGGAGCAGGGCCCCGGGTTGTTCCCTTATTTCTCCCCTTTGCATTCAATTCAGTGCCGGAGTGCAGAGCAGCGCGTGATCACCTTTCAAAGAAGTGGCCATCAATGGGCGGAAACCACTCCAGGGTGACAGAGGTGGAGGTCCGAGCCACGATCTGGGGGGCAATTGCAACAGGAGCTGGTTTCTTCGCGGGCTGCCAGCTCTGATAGACGAGGTCCAAGTAGCAGTGCATCCTGGCCACTTGGTTGGGTGTGAAGGAGTCTGTGCAGTCATCGTCTGAAATGAAAACAGAAGCCGCATCAACCATGTGGGAGATACGGTGGGAGTAAGAGAGAGAATTACAACCCAGTGAATGACACCTTCTTGCAAGGGTCAGGATGGGTTCTTGCAGCACTCAAAAGTTAATGGCCTGTGAACAAATTAGTGCAGTCATCACTTACGGAGGCAGGTGAAAGGAAACAAAAGTTAAAAAGGAGAAAGTAAAAAAAAAATAATTCAATAAATGTTCTCTCCCTCTGGTCCAGGATACATATGAAGCACCTGGAGATCATCCCTAGATGAGACAGAGACACGTGGAGGTGAAGAAACAGAAAGCCTCAGTGCAGCACCTCCTGGTCAGAATTGGGGCTACCAGTGGACCTCTGGACTTAAAATAATTTCATGTCTAAAAGAGTGTCTGAGAGAGGATAAAGGGCAAAGGACAGCTGGGGTTAGGACAGAGCACTGAGATTCGTGCAGACTGCATGCAATAGACTTTGACAGATTTCTTAGATTAAAAGAAGACAGAATTTTAGAAATATATAATCTTTTTAAAGTTCTTAAATTTTGTAATGAACAAATAAAAATGTTCCGAAGGATCAATTTAAAAGAAAATTATTACAAACACTGATTAAAAAAGTAAATTTTTGGTGCAGTAAAATAACTTTATTTCAATTAAAAAGCTCCCCCATTACCATTATGATTCCAGCCTCTTTCTGATCTTCCCATAAACATTTTTGATTTTTCAAATTCATTTTTCATTCAAAATGGAGAAATAATTTTGCTGGATAATTCCTCATAAATATCCACTTCTCATTTCATCTGTTGTCATCTGTTTCACCACGATTTGGCAACAAGAACACATCTACTACCCTCTGAACACCATAGGTCCTTACAACTACAATGCCCCGGAGAAGGAGAAAATTACTGTTTCTCTATTGTGCAGATCACAGAAGGAATAAATATGTTGTGAAAAGCCACCCAGAAAAGCTACGCTGAAGAACTTATTGCTAGCACTTTAACCATTTTCTGGTACTCTTCCCATCAGATGAAAAGCTCCTGAAAACACAGTGTCTCTTCACATGTGCCTGCGGAGTTCCCAGCCCAGTAAAGCTCAGTCCCAGACGGGACCTCTGCACGCTGCCGCGATACCAGCAACACGATGGTTTCGCACAGGTCAAGTAAGACGCTTTTCTGGGAAGATGCAGGTCACCGAAGGCTGTTCAGGGAGCTGCTTGCGTGCCTGCAAGTTGGCAGTTCAACACTGTAACAGCATTACTAGATGCTCTGATGTCTGCAAGTCCTTGCCCTGTGGAACTCAAGAGGAACCAAAAAAAATAGGGATTTGTTCTAAAGAGAAGTGCGAATTTGTGGGCTAATTTAAAACCTTACCACATCTTCCCAGAGATGCAAGCAAAAGGAGACAGCTTCGGTTGGGATCCTGCTCAAATTACAGCCCCAAATGCAGTCCTACCACAGTAAGGACACGTCAGTTCACATGTTCGCCGGTGTCTCTCCTAATTCCACTGTGAACCTCTCCTCATCAAACATGCACAGTAGATAGATAGATAGCACCAGCTTGAAAATATCTACAAATCCCTGCGGGTATGCAAAAAGCTGCTTTGATATGACACCTCTTGATTTCCTCAATAATTATCAATGGTCTATCCCTAAACATGCTGTAAAAGCCATAAATATTCTTCACGGAAGCCCAGAAAGAGAGAAAGGCCCTTAATAGCCATCATAAAGGAACAATAAAGTATATATAGGACAAAGCAGCGAGACAATGGCACAGGAGAAAGATGACCTGCATTCTCAATCTGTTTAAACATCAGCACAGGCTGTGTCCTGGGGGAGGGGAAGGGAGGAGAGGTGAGGGAGAAAGCTATTTCACTTGATCACTTGATTTCAAGAAAGTTTCGAGATCCTCAGATGAAGTAATAATCAGAGAAATTCAAAAGACTTTGCTGGGATGATTATTCCAACAGAATACAGAGACAGAATT